ATACCACAGAATATTTTCTCAGTCTGCTTGACCTTCTATAACAAAGTGTCATGGACCAAGTGGCTTATAGACAGCAGAAACTTATTTCTCACAGCTCTGGAGGCTGGGAAGTCCAAGATCAAGGTGCCAGCAGATTCAGTGTCTGGCTGAGCGTCTGCTACTTGGTTCTTAGCCATCTCATTGCTGTGCCCTCCTCAGCTGGCGGAAGGGGCAAGGAGCTGTCCGAGGTCTCTGATAAAGGCACTAAGCCCACCCATGAGGGCTCCACCCTCACGACCTAATCACATCCCCAAAGCCCCTGAAACTGGACATTTGGTTTCAACACATGAATTCTGGAGGGAACACAAGCCTATAGCAAATATTATTCAGTCATAAAAAAGAATGAAGTTCTGATACATGCTACAACATAGATGAACCCTTGAAAACATGATGCTAAGTGAAAGAAGCTATTCACAAAAGGCGACAGACTGTAGGATTCCACTGATATGAAATGTCTAGAATAGGCAAATCCATAGAGACAGAAAGTAGATTGGTGGTTGCCAGGGGATGGACGAAAGGGGAATTGCGAGTGACAGCTGAGGTCCATGGGGTCTTTTTGGTGGTGATGGTTGCACAACTGTGAATATACTAAAATCACTAAATTGTGTACTTTAAAAGGGTGAATTTTTTGGTATGTGAATTATAGTTCAATAAAGCTGTTTAAAAATAAAAAAGACTGGATGTAGGAAAACAAAATCTTTCGTCCTAACCAATTATATTTTTAAAAGTACAGATCAAAGTAGACTTTAGAAGTTGCAGACTCTATAGAAGTTCTTGTCACAAGAGAATCAGACTGGTCCACAACAGATGACTGAAGGATAATATTCATGTCTGACCAAAGGTAAAAAAGACAAACAGGAGTCTTCCTTTATTATGCCACCACCTACTACCCAGTGGGGTTCTGGAATGGAAAAACGTCAACTTTCAGATGTGTTTTAAAGGTTTTGAAGATGTTCTAAATTCAGTTCCTTTGAAGTTACTGAATCTTCACCTGAAAGTTTAAAAAGAGACTTACCAACAGATCTTCTGAAAAACTTATATCTAATAATATCATCCTATAGCTAAATGAGAAAAAGAACAAAAATATGCCTAAAATGTAAGGGAGGAAGGACCTATCAAATCAGCCACAAACAGATGCAGTAGCCCACTTCCTGGTGGTGGCAGCTCTATGGCGAAGATGGACACTGCATCAGCCTGACACAGACAGGGAAACTGTCAAAGCTTAAGGGTCACCAATCCTTGCCCTTGCACAGTCTCTACTCATGTCAAAATGTCACTTTTGATGTTTCAACAGTGGAAGAACACAACACTATCATGTATCATTTCCACCAATTCTGAATCCATATTCCCTAAAGCTCTACTAAAATCTGTATTTTATAACAAATCAGTATCTTCAATTTCATTTACAAAAGACACATTTCTTTAAGTACGTCTGCTCTTACTAAATCAAGGTAAGATCTTATCAAATCAAGAAAATACAAGGCATATTTTCAAAAACATAATAATCTAAAACCTCAATTAATCAGAATACACAAGAAATAGACTCTTGGGGATTCTCAAGTTAATAAGATCTTCTATTTTGTTTCACTTCTTACAAATTAAAATTCTATTTAAAAAATTACATTTTCCTGTAATAATAAATACAATAAACACAATTCAATACATTTTTATCCATGTCTTAAAATTTTAACATTCTCTCAGGTTCCTCATTTTAAACATTTAAGAGTTGGTTTTATAAACTTAACTAATTTCAGAAACTCATGTCACAGAATTACAATACATTCTAATTTCGATGCAAAAATAATGTTACCGCATTTCATGAAAATTTCATTTATCAGTCACAGTTCCCACATCTAAAACTGAAATATTAATTGCTTTTCTTGGCTCAAAAATTAAATAGTACCAACACATATAATATATGATATGAACTCCTAAAACTTTCTTTTGAAAAAGAATTCCTATGAAACTACCTGGTTTTATGTTTTTTCTCCAAAAAAATGGTATGCAGCCAGAAGATGGATTTTAATTAACTGAGGGTTCTAGTTAACAGTTATAGTTCTTAAACTGGATAATACTCAGAACCACTAATATTTTATCATTTCTTTAGCAGTTATCAGTCTCCTATGTGAAATAAATGATATTTACTTTCAGCAGTAAAAGTGTTAGATTAAGTATAACAGTGAAGTCTATATCAAATGACTTTTCCCTCAAAGCTGTTTCTGAAAAACAAGGTGACAAATTAAGAAACCACTTTACAAAAAAAGCTGAGAATCACAGTATTTTTAAAAATTTGACTCAAAGTGGCCACCACAAAAATACAAGCCCTCAAAAGCTGCTGCAGATTTTTATGATCTAATACCCCCAACCCCGCAATCAATAGAACGGATCCCTGAAAAATTACCTAAGGAGCTATTATATCCACACTGCATAATTTAAATTTTATACTCTTTGCCTGTAATGCTTTTTTCAGCATATAACATTTATCTCGGGTAAAAATTACGACATAAAAATATCACGGTGCCTAAGCAGAAATACAGTCGTCCATCCAGTCACACAACAAATACTGTACCTACTGCTGCTGCGCGTGGGTGACACGACTTACGGGCCCACAAAATGCACAAACATCCTTCCATCACGGGGACGTGGGTCCGAGTGAGGGGAGACAGACAATAAACAAAATCCTAACAAAGGGTGTTTGGAAGGCGATTAACTGCTATGGAGAAAAGAGAAAGTGAGGCAGGGAAGGAGAGTTCGGGGACTCGGAAAGACAAAATTTCAAATAGGATGATGATGATAAGGCTCGTGAGCAACAGGAAGTAACACTGAGTCTTATTTATTTGGCTTTGAAATGCATTACATGATTGCATTCATTCATTCATTTTTTTTACATTCATTTATTTATTTATTTTTAATATTCGTATCAGCTTTCTTGTTTTCTCTATTTCAATTTTCTATTCCCTCACCACTCACTGACTAGAGACAGGAGGAGGGCAGCAAAGGGCACGCTCCATGTTTTGGCTTACTTGATATTTTTCTGAGAACCACAGCTACAATTGAAGTGAAATTCAGGGTTCTCCACAAAACTAATAGTCAAAATACAATTTATATTATAAAACCTAACACTCTCACCAGCAAACAATGGGACCTTTATCCCATTAACAATGATTAGAGGTAGCCAGAATATGAACAGCAGTTCATGTCACACTGTCTTGTAGCAAAGAAATCAGATATTAGTTGAAATGATCTTTGTATATGAGCCCACAGTGTCTCCACAAATTGCATATTTACATATAAAATTCATTTGTAACATCTCAAAATGAATTCATTTCATTAGCATCTCATGCAATATTTACAGGACATTTTCTAACTTGCTAGCTGAAAAAAACAAATGTAACAGAATAACGCGTGTTTAAGATGTCTTTTTATTTTGAAGACTAAGAATTCTTAATTATTATAGATATACCAAGAAAAGCTTAGAGAAAGTCAGCAAGTACAAAGGATTCAAGTACTCAACATGTCTTTCACGTAAGATTTGTTAGTCCGCCATGGTATTTGATAGCTGAAATTAAGTACCCAAGTAATTCAATAATGAATAGCAAATAGACGTGAATAGCCACGCTTAAGACGGATTTTAACAAGAAATGTTATCATTAACTAAACTAAATATACTCTAATTGTTCCCAAAATACCCAATCCAAGCATGTATTTTTTTAAATGTGTGGGTTTTCCCCAACAGAAGCAAAACTGACAGTTTTTTGGGATATATAAACTTTCAGACTTCCACCGCACATCTGGAAGGAACATTCCAAACTCAGCTTGATGTAACTTTTAAAAATCAAGTGAGAGCAATTAGATACTTGGTGACTGAGACCTGAATTTGACAGTCACCAGAATGCTAGAAATGAAAGAAGTATTCAAAGTTTATCATCCAAGATGTGAAGAAAGAAACATAGAACAAAAGATGCATTTGCTTCTTCTGCCCTTTAATTTGTGAACACCACATTCTCTCCATGTCATGCCAAATAAGAGAAAATGAGTATTTTTAGAAGGCGTGCTAAATTGAAATATGACGGTCTCATCTGGACTTGTACCAACCCTCCCCTCCAAAATTTTGAGTAAAGAAAAAATATCAGAAAAATAGATCCGAGTCCTCTACAGACTACACCTAGATTGCTTAGCTCGAAGGCCAAGGAAAATGTTTACGATTCCAAGATCCATTCAGAAGCATGTATCTGCAATGCGTAAGCTTTTCATTGGCAAGATCAGTCAGTATCAGACAGCATGTTAAGGTTTAAAAGGTTAAGTGGATGAAGGTTAAAACAACAAAACAATCAATTCAGTAAGAAATATTTTTTGCCAAGTAACCATAAAATCATTTGGGCCCTAAGGAATCAAAGAGGGGTTTCTGCTGAGGCCACCTAAGTCCTTGGCACGATCTAAATTACCGCCCAGAAAAGCTGTGTCGGGGCGGAAGAGGCGAAGATTTCTAATCCGGGGTGACACCGCGGTCGTAAACCTCATCACAATTTCACCTTTGGGTGAAAAGGTGGGAGGGAAGCGAGAAGTTTCGGCCTCTGCTCGTTTGAAAACAGACACCGTTTAAAGGGCCCAAGGAGGGTGCCGGAGGAGCGGGGCTGCGGTGTCCGCCGTGCCGCGGCGGAGCATCCGGACCTCGGAAGGGGATGCGGAGGAGAGGGCTCTTATGTAAGCACAGCCGGACACCGTGCACGCACCCCCAGCCCGCTGCACCTCTGGGCCGCACACCGCACAGTACAGCCCGGCCCGCGCGGTCGCCCGGGAGGTGGGCCGACCCTTGAACCCGGCTGCACGGCCCCTCAACTCGCGCACCACCCCGGGGCCGCAGTGGGGGCGGCTAGGATCCAGCTGCTCCGCCCGCACGAGCCAGGCTCCGCGTGCCCGGCCCCCCGGCTCCCCGCGCCCGGCCCGGCCCCGCCGCTTACCTCGCACGGCCCGGCCCCCGCCGCCGCCCAGCAGCCCGGCCAGCAGCAGCCAGGCGGCCAGGGCGGGCGCGGGGCGGCGCAGCATCGTTCGGGCTCCGGCGCCGCGGCCGGCCCGAGGCGGGAGCGGCAGGGGCGCGCGCGGGCGCCGAGCGGGGCTCTCGCAGCCCGGGGTCGGCCGCTTCGCGCCGCGGCGGGCACCGGGGTCCGAGGAGCCGCCGCCGCCGTGCGCTGGGCCGCGGGCGCCCTCCCCTCGGCGAGCGCAGCACTCCGCTGCAGGCGGCAGAGCCACTAAGATGGCGGCGGCGCGCTCCCCGGGTCCGCGGGGTACCCGGCCGGGGGCGGGGAGGGAGGCGGGGAGGACGGCGGCGCGCGGCCGGGAGCGCGCGCGCGCGCGGCCGGGCTGGCAGGGGCGCGCGCCTCAAGGCCGCCGCGAGCCCAGAGCGCGCCCGCGGGGCCGCGCCCGGGGGGTGCTCTCGAGAGGCCGGGAGGGCCCCCGGCCGAGCGGCCGCCCTGCGTCCGCGCCCCCCTCGCAGCCCCGCCCGCCCGCGGTGCGGACCCCGCGGGAGGTGCCTCCCACCCCCGGGGGCCGACCCCCCGCCCCGCTCGGGCAGGTCTCGAGGCTGCCGGCCCCTCGGAGTCTTCCTCTGCCGGGGGCGGTGATGGGAGGGAGCCCCCGGGGTCGTGAAAGGTGTTCGGGGAGCGGGGGTCGGCGAGACGCGCCTTGTCAACAGTCGGGGGCTGCGCAGCACGTGCTGCCGGGTTTCCAGCCCTGGGCGGGCGTCGGTCCTGAGCCTGTTAACTCCAGGTTCCTCCATTTGCCGAAGGAATCCGTTCGAGGCTCTGTGCAGGCGGCTTGTGCGTGCCTTTCTAGATGATGTTGGTGTGAAGCTGAAGGTCCCCTAGAAACGCAGAGATCCAAACGGATAAAGAAGGAAGGGTCCCTCCGGAGGATCCCTGCAGGGGCTTGGATCCTCCCCCGTCCTCCTGTCCTGGTGCCCCCGCCCCCCAGCCCCTCCCTCCGCCCCTAGGACCACCACACTCCGGGGAAGGACTGGAACAGTCAAGGATGGGCTCCTGCGTGCCTTAGGAGTCAGTATTAGCACCATTTTGCGGAAGAGGAAACTGAGGCAGAAAGGGGAAATGACATCCCCAGTTGAGACTACTGTACAAAGAAGAATCAGCCTTCACGGACAGAGCAGTGGCACCGAGAGACACCAACAGCAAGAGTTAAATATCAAGACATGTTAATTATTCAAGCCTGTGCTGATCTATCAAAGGTGGTTCACTGCACAGTGATTGGCAGGACCACATTTGCTGAGAGGGTCTGCCTGGCTCCTGGGTTTTGCGGATGCCAGCTTGGCGTGGACAGAGGAGGGTGGGCGGCCTTGGGGGCTGGGAGAAGTACCAGTCACTGGGTTTGTGGAAAGCCCGGGACTTAATTAGGAGATTAGTGGGCAAAGAGCCTGAGAAGGTAGATTCAGGCTAGATTGTGAGGTGCTTTGAATGCCAGGATGATCCCACAGGCCACAGAAACCTTGAACAGCGGTGGCAAAGGCATGATGTGACCTGCGGGGTTTCAAATTGTAATGGCTATGCCCTTCCTTGTCCTTTGTGCCTCAAAGGCATCCTCCATAGAAGCCTGACGACTACTATCTCTCCTTTCCCTGGGTCTGGGAGGACTAGACTCCTTGGCTGGACCCCTCCCGAGACATGTCTGGACCCTGCCCTCTCCAGGCCTCGCCCCTCCGCTGGCTTCCAGCCAGCACTGCGGAGTCATCCTCTCCTGGCCTTGCTGTTCCTACCATCCTTCCCCAGCTCCCAGGAGCTTCCTGCTGCCTTCTGATCGAGTCCAGACAGCTCTGCCTAGCTTCCTACCCACCAATCCCAGGCCCTGCCCAGCTGACCTCAGGGCCCGCTGTCTCACCACTGTCTGGGCTCAGCGTCATTCCTGCCCACAGCCTGCATCACTAGCACACCCTTCCCTACCTCTGCCTTGAGTCAAAGGTCCTTACAGAACACTCTGGGCTGCCTCTTTCAGGAAGTCCTCCTATCAGGCCATCTTTCCCCTACCTGCACCTTCTCTGAACCTGGCTGGCCAAGCTTAGTAATCTGCTAATGTGTGCCGCTGTCTGATGAATCCACTGCATTCTCTTCTCCTCCCTACTGTGTTCTAGTGGGAAGGACACAGATGGTACCATCTGACGGCACTGGATGGAAATTCTGGCTGTTGCTACTATGAATGACCTCGGAGAAATTAAAAAACTTTGACTCTCTTTCCTCACCTGTGAAATGGGATAACAATACCTATTTCCTAGAGTTGCGAGAATTAAATGAGATGATACAATTAAAGTGCGTCACAGAGCATAGTATACAGTAGGTCCAAACACAGGGTAGCTCCTCTTTCCCTCAGGAGCCTTCTGAGCTCCTGTATACTGTGAGCACACAGTAGGTACTCAATAAGTACTCAGTGATGAGCCAAATGAATCACTGTGTTCATTTTTCATTGTGAAGATCACACCTCAAAGGGCAAAAATCATACTCTATAGGTCTCCAGGGACCTTTGAGATTTACAAAACATAAAATTTGAAAAGTACAAATCTCAGAAGTGTACCTTGAGTCAGTAGGTTGATGCCAAGAAGGAAAATGTAATGTATTCAGTTCTATTAGAAACACAAACAAAAGCTCTTTGGTGTCTTGAATCCTGATCCCTTTACCTTCTAACCCTCACTGTACCTTGAAAAAACAGATCAAAAAGGTCCAGCGGCAGGTGGGCAGACAGAGACAGACAGCTGATGAGCTCAGTGCCACCCGCACACACTGAGATTTTGCCCACAGGAGAGTTAGTCCAGCTGCAAAGCTCAACTTAAGCGTCTCAGAAACCAGTGAACTCAGCTTCTGGTTGGCCTGACAATAGCCTAGGTCTTCACGTGATGGATTAGTTAATCCTCAAAATGGCCGTGACAAGGGGATGGAGCCAGACTTAGGTTAGCAGAGGGGAGCCTTGCTGAGCTGGGCTGAGCCAGCCACGGAGGGGAGCGGCTGTACCAGGGCCCCAGAGCAGCGGGAAATGAGATGCTACCCCGGCCCACCCTTAGTCAGACAGAGACAAGAGGGTAAGGATGTGCAAGGAGGACTTGAACATCTGACCATCTGTGAGTTGGTCAAGAGGACACAGAATTCCCAGGGTGCTTCTGTGTCTTCTGAAATGACCCTTGCTCATCACAACAGCCTCTGTAGTAAGTTCTTTACCTGTAAGTGACTTCTCATTTATGCCTCCAGCAATCCTTTCCAGAAGGTACTTTGATCATTCCAGATGAGATAAATGTCGTTTTGCTGAAGAGCTCATTATTAGAAACAAGGACTCTTGGGATTCAATTTCATGTCTAAACCCAAAACAGTGACTCAAGCCCCTATACGAAGAAAAGCCCTGCACAGGCTCCCACAGCATGGAGCCAACCTGCTCCACCACAGACGGGAGGCTGTGGCCCCCTCCAGCCGTGGGAGGCCACGGGTGGCGGTACTGGCTCATCCAGCCTTGGGCTCTCCTTGGCGTGGACAAGGGACAGGGACATTCACTCCCAGGTCCTGGGTTGCTGGGAGGTGAAGCAAGGTCCCCTGCAGGAAAGCTCCTTGCGGGGAAGCCAGCGTTCCCAGGTGGGCCTGCGGTGACTGTTAGCAGGCGCGGCGTGTCCTGGGGGAGCACTGGCAGAGGGCGGGGGGGCGGTGAGCAGCTGTGCAGCACCCCTCTCTGACACAGGCTTGGGACCACGCCCACTTCAGGGCTGTGTGGAGAAGGCTGCGTGACTTGGGATGAGGGCCGCCCATTACACGCTCTGGACAGGACTCAAACCACAGCCCCCAGCACCACCACCAGCATCCCCCCTGGAGCTCCAGAGGTGGGAGGCCTGGCCGCGTCACTCCATTACTATTAAAAGGGACCATTCATGAGTAGCAAAAGGATGTGTGCTGAGGAGCAGGGACCCCGGTGGTCAGACCCGGGCTCAAGCCCACCTCAATCCCCTTCTTTCCCTTTTGTAAATTTCAACCTAATTTTGTTTCCTGGGTATATTAGTTACATGGTTCCAAAGTCAAATGGAGAAAGCAAGTTGCTCAGAAAAACCCAGCTCCAGTCCTGTGCCCTCCTCCCCTTATGGATCCCCATTTTGTCTGTTTGGGGGTTTTCATTTTAAACAAGTAAATTTTTGAATGTTTCTCTCCCCTTTCTTAGATAAAAGCAGCATGTCATACCTGCTGTTCTGCATCTTGCTTTTTTCACCTAATAATAAAATATCACGGAGACGGCTCCACGTCAGTGTGCAGACATAGTCTTCATTTGTTTTCATGGCTGTGTAGCATTCCCCTGTGTGGTGTGATATTGTGATATAATAGACATTTGGTCTTTGTCCCTGGTT